AGCTGCATACGAATGATGGATTCAATTATTTATCAAAGTAGAAGTTGACACTTCCACCTACCTAAACTATTGAATTCTACAGAAGAGCAGATATTTCAGAAATTCCAGGAGAGCTGATATTAGTTATTTATTTAGTCAATGATACCATTTCGTCACCTGCTTAAGGTAAAACAATATGGGCATAATCATCGCTCTTTTCCTGCATTACTAAAGGTTGGCCTCAGGGCTCACACATGACTACGCTACGTCTCTAGCCCTTTCAAAATGTTTGTATAATTTTGAGCCAGGGTCTCACATTCCCAACCCAGCCTGCACAAGTAAGCTTGTCATAAATTCAAACACCTTAACACGATTGAAAGGAAGTTTCTTTAAGAAAACAGGAATATATTTTCTCGATATGATGAGAAATATTTTTCTTAAATAAACCACATATATCACATTTGGGTGGAATATTTGAGACATTCATACTAAAATCAAGAGTAAAATAGGGAGCTGATTATTCTCCCATTCAACATTTTTAGAAGGCTGCATTAATGGAAAAAATTGTAACAGATACAAGTTTTGGTAAGAAAAATACAATGATAATTATTTAAAAATAATATCATTGTAACTATAAAAATAACTGAAGTAATGAGCTGAAAACTTATGGGAGTAAAACAAAAGTGATTGGACAATAAATACGTGTTAAAATTATTTCACCAATGATAAGCAGTCAGTAGATATATTATGTCAAAACAAAGATGTAATTTTTGCTATTGAAATAAAAATATGTGATATATATGAATGATTTTGATGTACAAAATATGTGATTTGAAAAAAACGAAGTATGTGATTTGATAATGTTGAGATAGCTTGCTGTAAGGCACAGGACGATGCGTGTCGCACTCCCTGCTCGAGGCTCGAGGGAGGATGAATGAGCAGCGCAAACGTAGCCACCCCGACAAGTAGGCTTAATGTAGCTCCAAATTCTGGGAGCAGCTTTGGGATAAGGGATGGAAATAGTGAATGAGATAATCAGCTGGAGAATGTATGAGGAGGATCTATTTAAGGGACTGAGAGCCAAGAATAGTCAGGGCCCTGGCTTTACTGTGTAGTGTAATTTAATCTAACCCAGAACACTGTAACAAGATTTAAAAGGAGAAGAGAATAGATCATCTTTTAACATGTTTCTACACATAAAATCAATCTGTATTTATTCTAGTATAATAATGTATTGCGGAAAAAGGAAATATCAATCCCCTTCTTCAGAGTAATGTCCGTACGAGGATCGATTAGTTTCCTATGCCATAATATATTTTAGTCAGATTAAAGGATGTGTTTACAATTAAATCATGGAAGTTGGGGGAAACACTATGGGCCCATCATACAGCTGTGGGAGTCCTGTCCCTGGAGTAGGAGTGGTCACCTTAGGAATGCAAATGGCTCCATGCACTGAGTCTGGAACAGCGCTGGGTAAATTTCAGGAGAATGAAGAGAAACAAGCAGTGGACCCAAAGGAGCGACCATGGTTAGAAATCCTCCGTGTGTCATGGCCAGAGGAGCAAATGAGTTTAAATAGTTTCAAGAGGAATGCGGAGATTCTCGGCCCCAAATGCTGTTGACGGAGAGGTGAGACAGAACCAGGCTGAGCCCTGTTCGTGGGCTGTGCCTCTGAAAGTCCAGAGTTTAGTAACTGAAGAGAAAATGGGCAGGAGGAGCTGTGCAGGGAGGGTGTCACTCTGAGGGAAGAAGGAGGGAGTGGGAGCCAGACAGGACATGGAGTCACGAGGGTGTGTTTGGTGTTTGATTTAAGGTGATGTGTTGGAGAGAGGGAAGATTAGCCAGTGACGGCCTCCAGCAGCAGGGACATTGAGATCTAGAATGTATCTGAGAGATGTGGGCATTTCTAGAAAACAATTCATTGAAAGCAATGAAAAGCAGAGCTATAGGGCACAGGTACTTTCAATCTCTCAAGGAAATAGGAAGAAACCAGCAAATGAAGATGGGAAGGATGGGAAGAAGCAGGAGGAGAGATTTTGTGCTCTGTTGGGACAGGAGGTTATAAAATAATCATCCAGAAATGTCTGGGAAGAAATCGAGCAGAGAAAACACCAGGACTGCAGAGGGGCACAACAGGTGCATCTGAAGGGAATGACTGCAGATTTCTGTTCAGACTAAGAGGCACAGCTGTCTGTAGCAGCATTTGACTTAGAGGTGTAAGTGGGCAGCACATGGAGAACAGGGCCTAACCAGCGGTAAATGAGTGGGCTGGGCCAGAGGTAGCAAGGGTAGCGGGTGTGGTAAAGTAGGGCTCCGAACCAAGGGCTGTGAATGCTGAGCTGCTTTAAAAGGGGAGGGCATGAGAGAGGAGGCCGGAGCCTCCAGGGGAGATTAAAAGTGTTGTGGTGGTAAAGACTGAATTTGAGAGACAACAAAAGATGGTCAAAGCATGAGCCTCTCAAAATGGAGATGACAAGGACACAAGAAGGTGACAGTTAAGCGTAGGGATGAGTTAAGTGTTATGAATATTAAGATCACCAGGAATTACAATAGACCTAGTGCCAAACAGAGAGGATTGACACAGGGGAAAGAACCCCAGGGAATAGGGTGGCTGATCTGAGCATGAGCACATAACTCTAATAAGCAGAATCATGTGGACTCTGCTTCATGGTGCAAAAGTAGATGGGGGTGTGAGATTCAAAGCTGGCGCTGCGGAGGAGAAAAATAAGACCTGAGGTTGGCACAGGGGTAAGAGACAACAGCTCCACCTTCAGAATGAGGGGAACGAAGAGCCAGAGAAAACAAGGGTTACCACTTCCCGGAGTTACAGGGGCAACAGCCAGCAAGAAGAAGGCTTGGAACCAGGAGCTGCTGACCGCACAGAGCTCCCCACCGTTGGGGAAAGGGTTGTGGAGATAACAGAGGTGAGAATGGGCAGAGAGAGCAAGTGAGCATGGAGACGTGGTATTAAATTCTAGGGAAGGTGGAGTTGGTGGGTCTACTGCACCCACTATGGAAATCAGTGTGGAGATTCCTCAGAAAACTGAAACTAGAGGTCCCACTTGACCCAGTTGTGCTGCAGACAGCTAACAGGATCATACCAAGGCGATATATTCTCACCCCATTCTTACCACAGCATAACTTCTAGTAGCTAAGTCTTGGAAGCAGTCCAAATGCCCATCAACAGATGAATAGACAGAGCAACTGTGGTGTTGATATGCCATGGAACATTACTCTGCCATGAGGAAGGATAAACTTTTTTTTTTTCTTTTTGAGACAGGGTCTCGCTATGCAGTTCAGGCTGGTCTTGAGCTCACTGTTGTCCAGGCTTCTCTCAACTCATAACGATCCTTTTGCCTCAGTCTTCTCAGTGCTGGGATGACAGGCATGTGCCACTGCACCTGCCTAAACTTACTTTTTGAAAACTTAAAAAAATAGTTATTTTTAGAAAAATGGATATACCTGAAGATTGTAATGTTAAGAGAAATAAACCAGATACACAAGATTAAGCATCTTGTTGCTTCTCTTGCATGACAAATGCAAGGGATAAATAAGGAGCAGAATGGAGGACAGATATAGGGAAGTAGATCATGATCAGATGAGAAGGGGGGCAAGAGAGGAGGGAGGAGAAAGGGAAGGAAGGGAAAATGGATTTTAAATAAAGGAAAATTGAAGGGGAAAATGGAAGCCATGTTTTTGTAAATGGAGAAGGGGAGAAGTGCTGAAGGAAAGTGAGAAAGATGAAAAAAAAAAAAAAACAGACGAAATAAGACTTTATGAACAGATATAAATTCCCTCTGACAAATGTGGGCAAATTATGTATGGCAAATACTGTACATACTACTAGAAGTAAAATATGAAAAGGGTGTTCCCTGACAAATGCATTCTGGTCAACAAATTGAAAGGTGCAGAACATAAAGCTGCACCTATAGTAGGCAAGACTTATTTGTGTGAACATAGATGAAACAGGCAGAAAGACCCCACGCATTATGTTTTTATTTAGGTTTTAGTGTAGGTAGGGGTTTTGGTTATTTTTTACTAGTATTGTATAATTTCTTTCCTGTATTTTAGGGAAGGGTCTACAGGGTGTTCAGGGTCTCACCACTAGATCAGACTCATAGTGATTCTCCTGTTTACAGCCTCCCAAGTGCTGGGATTATAGGTGTGTGCCACCACAACCAGTCTCAATTGCCATCTCAGCATGCCATGGAGGCAGGGCTGGGACGGCAGACTGGGGGGTTGGACCCCCAGTGCCTCCTTGCAGGCCCTTTAATCTGCTGAGCTATTTGGCCCACCCAGATTTTTTTTTTTTTTTTTTTTTTAGCTGGCTCAGCTTGCCTTAGGGGCAGATCTGGCAAGGTAAATGGATCTGGGGATTGAATTGCAGTCCTCTGCACCTGACTGGGTTTGCCGGAGCAGGCGTTTAAACAACCGAGCTAACCAGCAAGCTCCCTAGTATCATATAATTTCAAAATATTTACAGAAAGCAATTTTTGTTCATCACTAGAAAAGAAAACCTCACCTAATTTTTAAACAGCACCCCTGGTGCATTTCTAAAATGCTGTTATTCTATTTCTTGCTGAAACAGTGGTATTTCCGGTTATCATTTATTGTTATCATCAATTTATGTATTTGGTCCAGAGTCTCGCTGCACAGCTCTGACTCTTAGTGGTTCTCCTGTTTTCAGCTTCTCTAGCGCTGGGATTACAGACGTGTACCACCACTCCTGGACTCGGTGGCCAGCTCAGCGTGCCCAGGGAGTGGGGCCCGCATGACCTGTGCTGCCAGGAATCAAGCCCTAGTCCTTGCTCTTGCCTAAGCAGGCACTCAGTCCACTGAGCTATCACACCGGCCCCAATTTTTTAAAAAATGTAGGACAGGAAGAGGGTCTTTCTCCCTTGGATGCTGTACTTGCTTCCCTGGAGTTGCATCCCCTGAAGATGAGCTGGACCCCGCACATGGTGTGCTGTGTGTAAGGAGAAACCACAGTGACCTTGTTCACAATCCGCTGTGGTGCCCACCTGGCAGATGGAGGTTTCAGGGTCACACAGGTTACTATGCCCATGACACTGACAGGGGACGCACGTGCCGAGGGTGGGTCCTTGGCTGTGGCCACCTGGCTCAGGACGCAGCCGATAGAATCCTGGGGAGCACGTCTGGAAGAAAAGAAGCCAAGAGTGAGAGCAGTGCTAGGGACCTCGTTGCAGCAGCACCTCAGGCATCACTGGTTATCCAGACAGACTTCTTCCATGCTGCTTACAGGCATAAGCGCCGATTTTGATGCCTAATACGTGCTGCGGCATGTCCCTTGCCTCGGTCACAGATTGCAATCAGATTGTAGCGAGGAAAGCTTTAATTTGCATCCCCAGAGCTGAGCCTGAAAACGCCTCAAAAAGTCTTTTTTTTTTTTTCACTTGAAAAAAGAAGTTTATTTTTAACTAACATTTTCATATGGACTGAAAGGATAGCTCCAATGTCCCCGACAACCTAACATCAGCTCCTTCTGTGCCTGATGGAGAACTGGGAATGTCTCAGGAAGGACACAACAAAGATTTAAATAAATAACAAATGACATGGATGCATGATTTTCATCAATACAATTTAAAGACTATAAAAGGAAGAATTCAGAATATGTCTGTGTCTTAGGCCTCTTAGGCCATCAATAAGCTTGATCTTTCCTGATCTTCTTTATTTTCAGTTTTGCAATAAAAATCTGAAAGCCAAAAGAAAACTACTGGTGAAGGCGACATAAGCAGAATCAAGACTTTCATCTTCCTTTAGGTGTATTGTAGAAATGGATCAGAAAGTGTGGGCTTTCCGGAAGGCAGCCTCCGCTCCCTGGAGGTCGGAGGTGGTGCGTGCTCACTCAGCCTCCTTGAACTCACCAGACATTGCTCCAATTTCTGCCAGGAGGTAGGAGTCAGTTCTTCAGCGCCCACTGAGAATTATGAAGGGGCTGTTGCCATAATTCTGGCTACACAGGACATTTTCTCACTTAAAAACTGTGCTACTACTGACAAAAGGAAAATGATGGCTGAACAAGCAGGCACAGCAGCGTTGGACAAAGACTTCCTAAGCCCTCCTGCTCTGGCCTGACAGGCGAGTGGAGAATGCTCTCGAAAGTGAACTAGATCAATATGCAGCACTATCCCCTTGTTTATTTTGATTTGGGTAATAGGCACCTCAATTAAGCATTTAATTAACAGTCTCTCTCATCTTATCAGCCAACAAGAAATTCTAGGCAATTCAATAAATGTCCCAGCTTTGAGCAAACCGATGAAAGAAAGAAGAAGACTATCTGAAACACCCCGTGCTTCATTTGATTATGGTGGACATAATCATACATTTGAATGAAGTTTATTCATAGTATTTAAAAATGAAGCTTCATTTTTTTTTTTTTTACTATTCTCACAAAATAAGATCTAGAAATCACAGTTGAATTAATTTTTATTTTATTTTATTTGTATTTTAGGACAGGGTCTACAGGGTCTACAAGGCCTCACTGCGTAGATTGGACTAGTAGTGATCCTCCTGTTTACAGCCTCCCAAGTGCTGTGATTACAGGC